TAATTTGAGAGGGGTACAAATGTGAAATTTCTCGATCGTTTGAATTTAAATTGCAAGATATTAAAGATTTACAATGTGTAAGCCTTCTGATTCATTTAGTTCTCAAGTTTATGGTTTATTGACATTATTTTACGAGCAACACGGAATAACATTTGTAGCATGGGACGCCCTAAATGTTTTCTAGTCCAATAATTGCTGTATATTCTATATCCCCGCAACTGTGCATTGTTTGCCACAAAAAGGCAATTTGATGCAAACACTTTTCAAGTCGTGAACAAATTTGCATCACAACAGTCGTAATGCGTGATAATTTATTCGTGGACCCTACACCGTACCCCGTATAGAGAGATATAGAAAATTCTTCCTTGAGACTAGAAGAGGATTATCGACATGATGTTGAGGAATGACAAGTGAAATGAAAATTTGTTCGTCGTGACACACTTGTGTTCTGTTCCCTTCTTCAAGAGGACCAATTGTGGATAAAATTTAGTTCAAATAGGGATTATTTTTTCATTTGTTTTGGGAGTAATCAAAAAACGGAACCAATGTGGACCTGTGGTAATTAGCATGCTCTTATGTTATGTTTGCCATTTTTAAAATTTTAACAAAAAATCTTTATTTAAGCAGCTGGCGATAATTCGACATAATAGGTATCGATGTCCAATGTTGAATTTGCTTTTTTGTGAATTGATGAGTGTTTGAAAGTAAGAGAACTGTGTCAACACTGAGTTTCACTGTCGATTGTTTCGAAGAAGAATATCTTAGTTTGTATAAACATATATGTTTGCTGATGATCAGTTGTTTATAGCTACTTAAAATGTTAATATGTCGGATTCATCATCACTAAGTCTTGCTATTTTTAAAAGTAATTTTTGTATTCTTGTTTTAAAAGTAATTCAAATGTGTGCTCACCTTTTCGTTTCTTGAGATTCCTAACTTAAATTTGACTCCATTACTGGAATTTCCCAATTTTCGACTGGATGCAAGTAATTGCTTTTTTTGTCAATTGATGAGTGTTTGAAAGTCAAACAGTGTCACTGTCGACGAAGAAGAATATCTTTTTGTTTAAACATATATGTTTGCTGATGATCAATTGTTTATAGCTACTTAAAATGTTAATATGTCGGATTCATCATCACTAAGTCTTGCTATTTTTAAAAGTAATTGGAGTATTGTATTCTTGTTTTATCGAAAACTAGTGTCAAATGTGTGCTCACCTTTTCGTTTCTTGAGATTCCTAACTTAAATTTGACTCCATTACTGGAATTTCCCAATTTTCGACTGGATGCAAGTAATTAACGTTTTGGGAGGAAAGACAACTTCTATTTCAACCAAATCGAAAGTTTTTGCATACAACATAGAAATATTTCAAGTAGCATTCAAGTGGGTTCATTTTCTAATTTGAATCGTCTCTATTTTGAATGACGTCCATTTCGAGAAACATAATGATTACTTCACTGCTTGTTTGAAGAGAAACTACAAGGCATTATTAAATTCATCATGGACAATCTACCAAGACCTTGAAATTTCGATCCCTTACTCAATCTGCGATCTTTTATCTATGCTATCCTATTGATATTTCTTGCTGAACCCGATTTATATATTGAATGAGAGAGTCCAAGCAATAATAAGGTCCTTCTCTTTATTTCTCATTGAAGCAGCGTAATTACATCCATAGAAAGCTAGCTAAGTAAATACCCATATAGCCAAAAGTCATCAACGTGTTTCATTAGTTGCTCTTGAAACGCGCATAATGGGACATACTAATAACCGGAGAATGCAGAAAAGAACAGGATAACAGGTTCTCCCCTGTACTGTCATTGTATTAATTACTTTATGATCCATAAAAAGAAGGCTTTGTACGTTTTATGATTTTATGAGGTATCGCACTTAAATTAAATCAATAAAAATATGTTTCACTGTCAGAAAAGTCAATTTTATCATGATCTCGGAATTTGGGTGTATGCCTGCTTTTCAGTTAGATTTATGATTTATTTGCAGACTATACTCGTCCTCAGTTTTGTGACTTTTGTCATAGAGGGTAAATTTACCGAGTAAGGTGTTTCAGGACATCACACTTAATCATACAGTATAGGGTATCTACCACTCTAATGCACAAATGGTCCGTTAACAAAAGTCTACTTGTTGTATTGGAAGACAATATGTAATACGATATTCATCGCCAACTTGTTGCGTACATACCCAGGTAAACCTGATGCTTTCGCACCTTGATAGGCAAAATTTAACTGCATGATTTATATTTCCAATTTCTATACAATATACGGTGACATTACGTGTTTCGGTTCAGCGATAATGACTTTCCCATTCATACCGATTTTTATATGAATGTTTTTGTCAAACGTTAGAAGTAACGAAAAAAACTTGCATTTGACAGATATGTTTTTGCACGAAAGTTAATTGATATTGCTCCCCTTTTTTCATAACTGCCAATCAATAAACTCATTGCAGAGCTTCTCAATAATTTAATATTTTTCTAATTGGAGAGAAATTCTAAAAAATCAAACGTCTCAATTTTCTTTCTTTATTTTCATTTTGGTGAATCTTCTTGAAGGAACTTCATTATTTGCCAACTGCTTCAATTTGAAGCTGTCTAGCCAAATATGTAATACAACTGTCTGCACGTGATGATTAGAACCTGCATTAAGTAGGGGCTAAGAACAGAGAAGTGCTTGTTTGAGCTGAGCTGCTGTAGTGATATTCCTGTTTTCACGCCTTTAAAATTAGCCTCGTTAAGAAGCAGGTGTTTCTTTTCTGTCGATGCCTTTCCAATACAAATTTTTCTTGGCATGAAAAGATTGGTAGATTTTTATCACGACGAAGTGTTTTCTGTTTTGATTCCACTTGCTGATTTATGAGTATTTTCACTTTTCCCTGGAAAAGTTGCCGGTTATTTGCTTTGGAAACAATGGATTTTTTTCATTTGATTTTCTTATAGTTCATCAAATGCAAAGAAGTATTTTTTTGGTAAAGCAGACTTTTTTAAGTAATCCATTTTCATTAATTTTATTGCAAGTAATTTAGCCTTTCTTAATGTTTATTCTCTATGATTTAGAACGGGATGAATTGTTTATGAGTCTCCTAAACTCTTACATTTATCTACGTCAGAAAAACGGTTCCAAAAACCTTATCAACAGAGAATCAAATAGCGGATTGTCATTGGTCATAAATAATTTTGCATTTATTGGCAAATTTTGTCTTATGGTTTTAGGACCTTTTTGCGTTTTTAATGGACGGTCAAATTTCTTATATGATTTGATGATGGTAGATACATATCTACGGGTCTATCCGTCGTCTGTCAGCTGAGCGCGAGCAATGATATGATTTATTTAATGGCGTAACTTCCTCGGTAATAGTTCCTCTTATTCCTGATTATTGGACTTAATTTTCAGACATAGTTTTATTACCAGATGTAATCTCATTTTTTTTCTTAACTATTCATGAGTATGTATTTTTCAATAAACTATCTCTAACGTTAGTGAAATTTGTAACTTGCATTGATTTTTGATACAGCAGTAACATTGAAAACAAAAACTTCTTTTCCTGCCTGTGCAGTAACTCTTTATTAACTAGATTATTACACCATTTTTACATGTAATTTTCGTGACAGGATGTAATATAATTATTTTCTTGTTTCTTTTCTTTTTGTTGTGCCTCAATTACTGAGTCTAGCGGTACTGTATAATTACGCATAGTATTAAACATACTAGATAAATACCCCAACCCGCTAGGATTCTTACGTAATTTAGTGCACCTTGCTGCATAATTAAAAGACGGAATGATGTAGTGCTTCTTAGATGACAACCTGAAAAATGATGGTTTCACGTTAAACTTTTAATCAGGGCCTTTTTTTCTAATTAGAAATGGTGTCTAATTGGATCTTCCAACGATACTCTCCATTTTCAGCATCCGCTGCGCATGCGTCATTGCGTGACGTTCTGTCCGAAGTTCATTGATTGTATTCTATCATAGCAACAAAGAAAGTTCAAACATAAATATATAGAAATATTATCAAGGGAAGCTCGTATTCCCATCTCCAAAAAGTTCGTATTTCTTGAATCGTGATAAACATTTTGACGTGTTTTGGCAATGAAGTATGTAAGAATTTTGTCTCGAACATATAATTATTGATAAGCCAAATGGAAATAAATTCAAGAGTTTGACTGAGGGTGTTTCTTCAAATGAAAAAAGAAAACTTAATAATTTTCCCTTTAAAGGAAGTTGTATACACTTAACAGTAAAACTATTGACTTTTCGAGGCGTATTTTGACACTTTATTTGCATGAAATCTGTATAAAATAGCTTATTTATACAAGTGAATTGCATCCTTTGAATGAGGAGGAAACATACTAAAAATCATAGACTACTTTTCATAAAGTACGATTTCATGAACAAGTGGTTTGTCCTTTCAGAAAGAAGTTTATTTTTCACCCTAATTAAACAATTAATTTCAATTCTGCTGTTTGCGATAAATTGAATGGAGAAATCAGTATGAAAGCACAATTTTTCCTGCCGACAGATCATTTGTACAGTTTACATTTTTTTATTCATTTACACCAATGCTTTTGTAATGCCTGGAACCAAATCACACCATGTACTTTACACCACGCAGAATTACTAGCAGTTACTCCTCACTGTATATTTTGCAAATCTTTTTCTTCCCTGTAGAGGTGTTTATTGTTAAAAAACGAAGATATTTAAAAGAAATATATTGAGACTATTAAGATAATAGCATTTACAGGTGGAAATTATGAAAGTCTTAGTCCCACTCACTCAATAGTTATGGGCAAGGTTAAAGTTTTTGCGGACAAACAGACAGACAGACGGACAGGTCCAAAACGGAAAAATAAACCCCAATATTTCCAATGCCTATATAATGTATATATTTCGATTAATACGGGGGTATACAAAAAAGCTGAAGTATAGTGCCAATAATCATTTGTATCCAATTAATTAAACTAAAATTTCTTCCTTTTTTCCAGGGAAAAACTTAACATGTCCCCATCAGCAAAGCAACATATACTGCAGCTCGATACACAAAGGTATCGTACAGGACTGTCAGAACGACGACATAGCGGGGGGATGGGTGTCCTGTATGGACATCGAGCAGTCGTGCCCCATCAATGATTACTGGGTCAACAAGGACACAGTTTATGTCAAGGACGGGTGTGGAGGGCGGATCCACGTCTGTTATACCAGAGGTGAGTAGACAGGAATATAAGTTAACTTTTTCCGCAGTGTATAAATTATGTATCTTAATTCTATAAAAATATGTGTCTTGAGCAAAAAAACCTAACCATTAATATCATTATTTTTTTTTCAAATTTAAGCAATATCCTGTATAAATGTTTTATTTCATACATATAAAAAAAACATTTTTTCGAAAAATTACACCGCGATCCAACACTCTTTGGTGACTATTTCTGTGAGTGTAATTCTATACCATATATATATTCTGAAGGATTGAAATATAAAAAAAAACAAAACAGGAAAAACTTAACAAATAATGATGTACATTATCAAATTTAAAAGCTATCATTGTTTTTTAAATATGCTATATTTTTGACGATTAAAATTGTAAACATGATCAAATGCAGATAAAGATGTGAAATTCCATTTTCACTTTAACACAATAAACAGACTAAAACGAAGTAATGCCAACCATAATTATATAATGCCTTATACATAAAACATTGCACGAAAACTTCAACTTTTATTAAGTGTTGAGAATGGTTTTGCTGGGGAATGAATCTTGTCAAAATTTGACCAATTTCCGATACTTGTGCGACTTGAATCCCAAGCAACCGGTGGAAATAAAAGCTAATTGACAGATGCAACATGAAATACTGCTACATATGAAAATTATGACATCCTTTGGTTTTGCTTTTACGAATAATATTTCCCGTTAATGGTATTAGACGGTTAGGTTGCAAGTTGTATAAAACCTAGAATTGCGTTAGCTTGACAAGAAAATGTAATTGGGGGCTCTAAATTAGTTTTAGGATGTGAAATTAGCCCCGAAGAATCCATTCGAAAAATGAAATCAAATTGCAAAATGATTATAAGAAATGAACCCATGAGGAATACTCAGGTGTCATATACTCAAATTTAAAATATTTATTCCATAGCATTCATATGATTTCAAGATAAAGACTGCAGGCTTTCTTCTAACTTAATTCTCCAATTTGTTACTACTCACAGAAATTTGGTCTTTTACTTAAAAGAAAAGGGAATTCCTCAAAAAGAAAATCATTATATTTCAGTTATCTAGATCTCTTACTGTCGTATCACATAAATATTGTTGAGTTAATAATAAATATTCTGATTTCAGAAGTATGATCCCTTGATTATAAACCATCTTTATAAAATCCTTATACAGTAACAACAAAAGCTGAAATTCGGTTCACATGAATTTCTTTCATGACAGAAAAAAAAAACATATGTTGAAAATTTAATTATTGATGTTACAGATGCCCCAGCAACAGAAATCAAGGAAAGGACAATGGAGTGTCGACACTGGAATTCGTCTTACAAAGTTTGCAAGGTCAAGGACGCTCAAAAAGCCCAAAGCATTGAGAAAATTGCCCAATTCCCAATCACATCGGGATCTCAGTGCAATAAAGGAATCGACTACGGCATTATAGAGGATTCCATCTGGATCAACAATGGATGCAACGGAATTTACAAAGTTGAATATTATACAGGTAAAGGGGTCTGCTAAAACTCTTCATATACATGTAGCTCAAATCAAATACTGAGGTTAGTCTTGTTAAAATGGACGATCTAAATTTTGTTCGGATTGATGTAGAAAATGGGGCGTGCAATTGTACAGAAAGACAATTAATTTTGTCTACAGAGTAACAAATATGTCTTTTTTAATAACTGGATCTTTTAAATTATACTATGGCAAAATAACAATTGACCTCTTATATGTATGACCTTGACCCTACAAAAATTTGATCCCCTACCAATTAAATGCAAAATCTTTTTCCAACATTCAAATATGGCAAAGGTTGTAACTACATTGATCCTACCAAAAAAAAAAATAACCTTGACGAAATATAAAATCTTAACCACGTCTTAAAATTAATGAGTACATTTGTATCTTCTTTGTTCTCACAAAGATAGAAAAAGATTGAAACAGGAAGCATGCATTTCTCAAGTTAGTTCTTGTCATAAAATTCTGCATTACATAGCTAGACATTCGGTCGTAAATTGAGAGTAAGATTTCCCTGTGTACTCCTAAGAAAGTACTTTTATTTCTCATTTATATGTGAAGCAAAAACAAAGCCTTAAATAACAAAAGCAAATTACTCCACCCAGAATCATTTGTAGATTTAGGGCTACGAATTATAACCCTTTGAAATAGGAAGTACTGTCTTTATGGTCTTTTTATATCATTACTCTATACGCTGTGTTTGAAGTGTATGAACTTCAATTCCCTTTGCTTTATCGCCGCCTTTGTCACTCATAATTATTGACTGATACAAAATTTCTTTCACTGCTTAACCATTCTTAGATTAAATCTTAATTAACTGATTAAGCTAAGTCGTAACTTTACAGTGCTAGACAACGACTTTTAATAGGTTTGGATTGTCCCCTGATCATAAATCTTAGCAGGCACTCTCGATAGAAAAGCTAATTCGCGCCTTGTCATCTGGTAAAAGAATATTATCTCGAGATCGTATGATTACCCTATTTGAATGAATAATTTGGGCATTTTTTGCCGAGTTTATGAGCCATTATATGAATTAAGAAGAAGTTAATGCTGAATGTACGTGGATTCTGGTATTTTACAGAACATCGTAAACCCCGTTCAACCATTCTCATCCTTATAAAGACAATAGGAACTCTTGCGTGTAAGCTGCACATAAAATGCTTTTTTGCGCCATAAAACCCTCTGTCATTTCTAGTTTATGGTTGGTGTTTGAATATGAAACAAAATGAAACCAAACGCTGACTTAATGAATCATTCCGATAGCAGAGTGAGCAGCATGTTTATGAGGAAGCAAGCCCCAATCCTTCTCTGTCTCCAAACTGTCTGCGCCTGCATATCTGGTTCCCAGACAGGACACGTGCGCACGCAAAGCGTTGTAGCGACTAAGACTTCCGTATCCGGTCTAAGAAAAAGTTTGAGAAGGGGAAGGCTGCTTGTATTTCTTGAAGAAAATAGTGTAGCATGCTGTTGGTTTAATATACGATCAACATTTCATGAGATTTATTTAAAATATCACTTAGCTCTGTAACATATTTTCCTCTTGTGTTTTTTTTTTCATTTTATTACCGGCCGCCAGGAGGCGGTCGGTTATATGATATGAAAGTTTTAAGTCGCCGTGCGTTTCTGCGGAGTTGGAACAATTTGAATAAAAAATATTTCACATTCATGTAATAGAATATTAAGAAAGAGTGTCTAAATGTAAAATAAAAACGCATAATAATCATAAAATTAAAATTTTATGAATAATGGGTTAAATGTTTCAATCCTGATTGACAAACTCCGACGTAACTGAAGTGCGGAGAAATAAGCACACATGTTGGGCATAGTGATCGCGTTATACATGTCTAAACAAACTTTACTTTCTCTACTTCAACAGGATTTGTTGCATATATAATTTAAATTGACGTGTAAATATAAATATACAGTGTACATTTAATACGATTTTTTTTTCAAAAATATGACTTAATCTTAATTTATTATCAGACAGAATATTAGGAGATTTTTCTGCAACAGACAAGGATAAAGCGCGTTTTACAACATGCCAAACCTTTTCCCGCCACATCTCACACCAAAACAAGATAGAGAAGAAATGTAGTGGCGGATCTAGAGGGAGTTGGGGGTTTCAACATCCTCTGAGCGAGTGAGGAGCCCCACATAGTTGAAAACTTGTTACGTTTTATTTAATGTTAAACTATCTCTAGTAAGATAAGTTTAAACGTTAGTTTTAATGGTTAAGTGTTAAAACTACTTTCGCGAGAGTTCGTTTATAAACTTACTGAGTTAAGTTGCTTATACATTTTATATGTAGCAATGTTTTGTACATGTATTATGTACTGAAGAAAATCCTGGGATGTCGCATTCAAATGTTTAATGTCACAGGGATATATATTAATTAACAGATAAATATAAGAGTTCAGTTTCTAATTTAATATAATATTGTATAAAGGAATTAATTGGTTTGCGGCCGATTTTTGACGCTTGCGTCAATATGTTTCTTGTTCTTTTTAATATAAAACTTCTAACCTGTACTATAATGCTTCTCTATGTAAAACTAAATTGTACATGTACGACTATTAGTGTCCTTTGCTTAAATTTGGCATGCAAATATTTTCTTGAATAATTATCCTTAAAGAAGCGTTGTCGAAATGAATTAGATATTGTGCAAAGAATAAAAACATTTAAACCATTTAAGCTGATTTTATGACACCTGTGAACCTTCAAATGCATTCCTTAATTGTTTGGCCCAGTTTAATTTGGTCGTTAAAGGGGACCACGATTATTTTAAAGTTAATCGGATTCAATGCAGTAATAAATCCGCTGAATTATTTAAACAGTTCGTTTACTAAGTAATACTACGGGAGTTAGCTACGGGCCTTATCTTAATCCTCTGTCGATAAACAATTAATGCGACACGTCTGTACAACAATAATTGTGCAATCTCATTGTCTGGTTTGTTTATGTTTGCTATTAAGATCTTGTTTGTAGTGATGTGATTAGCATAATGCTCTATGCTTTAAAGAGAAAAGTGAAAATTTTTGCACCTCGGACTAACCAACGGTGAAGTTTACATTGTACGGAATCTTTTACAGTTTGGTGCTATTTTTCTTTAAAAATCCAGTAATCGGGACACAGTCACGACACACCAATTTAAATGTTTATATGTTTATTTTTTAACAACAAATTTACATAATAAAGATGCTAGACTACATGTAAGTGTGTTTTTGAAAACTTGTCAGTGAAGTCTGAAACAATTAACGGTTTAAAAGTTTTTATCTATAAAGTTTTGATGAAGATATATTAGGATAAAACTACAAAACAGTATCACCAGAGTTCTTATATTTTTGCTTAGCAATACTCGAAAAGCATATTATATACTTTTGCAAATAAAAAAATAGTTAATTCTGGTTACACCATCAAAAAAATTAGGATAGGTAACGGATTTTTTTTACAAAATGATATTTTGAATCGTAATACCTTTCACTGCTTTGCAGGTATATCATTTATATTCTGATTAATCATATTCTGTAGGGGTAATTTCTTTTAGATACCAGGAACCAATGACAGAAAGAGAGAAAGTTCCGGTAAAAAAATGGAAATTGCCAAAAATAAGTTTATGGTTGGGGGATGAAAAATAGGGAAGATAGGGTAACATGGACAATGTTTTGATGATGATATCTGAAACTTTTTTTGCCTCCAGGATACCAAGAATGGTAAATCCACTGGGAGACCAAATATTGATTTCTCTTTTCAAACTTGTTGCGTTTGTTGCAAAGTTTTTCACAATCTCCCATTTACTAGAGTTATTTCAGATTCCTGATGATTGGAAAATTAATAAATTAATCTCGAATTTGCTTTATTTCTGACATTTTGTAGTGTTAGAACCTGATTTAATGGCCTTCGTCACGCTCGTGAAATTGCTTTGGATGCGCTGTTGCTTCTAATATACTCTAAGGGGTGGTGGTCCTTTTCTGATTTCCGGAAGCTGAAGAGCGATTGACACGTTGATGGGACTAGTGGTGCCAATTGCATTGTAGACGATACACATTTGATCGTTATTACTTTATTGAGATATGAATATTTGATTCTCCTAACGGGATTACAGTTTCTTGTAAGAAAATAATGACTCATTCTATAAACAAAGCAATTTCATAAAAAATGATCTTGAAGACAAATACCAGACATCTATTTGAGAACATAAAGAATTAGGCTGTCACTACAATGAATAATTTTCCTAAATATCATATGCTTGAAAATCATTTGTTTATAATCCGTCGAGATTAAGTTTTTGAAAGAAGACAAAATATTCAGTTATAATCCTTTTCTTTTGTATATAGTTTCAATCTTTGGAATGTACATGTATGGTAGTATGTTATGAGCTAAATATATATTTTATTTTAATATAGGTCAACCTGTGATTTTAAGTAAGAAAAAAAAATTAAAACGGCACAGGAATACATGGTCATATCCTTTATTTCCCTGACAAACATGGGACTTTTGTATAACACACACGTAATGAAAATTCCAGTGAGATTCGAACACGTCCGTTCATTATTACTTACGAATGATGAGTAATGTAGCCTTGGTACAACTCACATCTGGACTTGACAATATCAGTTAAATGTACCTTAATTCTTTATAGCAGCGAAAAGTAAAACGTATGAGTTATCGGCATAGATGTTCCTCATTGGGCATATTAGCTTACTGAAGTAAAGCTAATAATAAAGATTTTATGGTCATGCCTGTTTTGCCTGGAGATCAAAGTTAATTTAATGTAAATTCTCATAAGAATCGTCCTGTTTCTAATTTCAATACAATACGACATTTCCCTGGAGAAAATTTAGCCTCTTCGTCACTTGTGCACTATATATGTCCAAATCGTTTATTCCCTGCCTTCATCCCACCGACGGATTAGATCTAATCTTGAGTACAAGTATCCAGCGACTCTAGCATGCATAAGATGCTCGGCAGTTCCAATTATTGTCAAAGGAATAGAGTGACTACATTGTTACTGGGAAGATTTTCTGAAAATTTATTTTTGGGGTGATAAAATGGAGGATTGTCATAGCAAAAATAAAAACACGAAACAAAACAAAGCAAAGCAGAACAAAGCAAAACAACAACAAAAAAAACAAAACAATAACAATCAACAACAGCAACATCAAATTAAAAGATGAAATTAAAAAATAATTTAAAATTGCTGCAAATCTTTCAATCGTGTACTGTAGAAATTGTTCAAGTTAATTTTTAATGCAATATTTGGAAAGCAAATTTTATTGCGATTGAATTTTTTTAGCTCAATACATAAACTCTAATGGTTGCACGACAGAAAAATCCTTTCTTGATTGAAATCAGCTTCCTGGCTATGTGGCATACTCTTTTAGCCAAAGTTCTGGTGAAATTGATCACAAATGTCAAGAGATAGGAAAGTTATCCGTTATTCGTTCAAATGTTCAACCTTAATAAGCTATATAGTTACGAAAACAAATTCGAACAATGTCTGCAATGATGCATCGACACAAAACAAGCCTGTCAATCACGTGTCATGCCCGATGTGAATTCACGTATCCCTATCTCGACCTATATTTATAAAGATAGCAATATGCTATCTTTACTCGATCCGATGTCACTGCAGACTAAAAGTTCGATAGAATACATAAATATTTCAAGTATAAGTAAAGAGATATGGATTTATGGGTAAAGATGTAGGAATTTTATGCATATATTGGTGCCCGACTCTGCATGCAACTTGGCTTCGTGTAATTGGTTGGTATGGAGGTTGATAAGCGTTTGACCACCCATCTCTCTCTCTCTTCTCCCTTCTCTCTCTCTCTCCTCTCTCTCTCTCTCTCTCTCTCTCTCTCTCTCTCTCTCTCTCTCTCTCTCTCTCTCTCTCTCTCTCTCTCTCTCTCTCTCTCTCTCTCTCTCTCTCTGTGAAAAAGCGAGACACGTGAGGCCATCTCTCCCTTTGACGACTTACGCTTCATAGATTTCCACAGTCAGATTGACATGCTGCATTGGGTATCAAACGATAGCTTTAATGAATCTATTTCTATAGCAAAGCAGAAAAAACAGTCGATAATCGACATACAGCTCCCAAAGATACTGAAAACATTCCCATTTATCATGGCTCTCCTCTGTGTATAACTTGTTACTGTATTGAATTTGTTAAATTATCGCTCTATCTGTTGAAACATTTTGACTGCATGAGAGATGGAATTATATAATTCAATAGTCGTACGTGTTCTGTCAGTGAATTTGTTTCAGTTTCCTTGAAATTTAAAAGTAAAGAACAATGGCAACCTTAGATTAAAATATCAAAATATATAATACATAACGAAATTCATCCCAAGTGCCCGAAATACGTAATTTCTATACTCATGATTAAACTTTCATCTAATCACTCAATGATTTCAAGGACATTTTCTAAATTCATCTCATTTCACTCACTTAATGGAATAAAAATCTTGAAAATTACACCTCATTGTGCTCATAGACACAGGGATTCTGTTTATTACATGTTAAATTGTATTATAATATGGAAATTGTCTTATAATCAACGATGGTCATTAGTTGCAAAATTGCTGAACATGTTAATTTCAAAAGAAGTATCATATGTACCACGTTCTGAACGACTGACTGGTTAACATAAATAATGTTTCTTTACTTTTATCTTTCTTGAAATATATATGTACATGTATATTTTTGGAAATAAGATGTATAAATTATTTATTTATTTTATTATTCGTATTTTTTAAAATTTATTTTTAGACAAGCTAACATCTGTCACACCGACACCAAGCCCTCCTTCAAGTTCGACAACTCCAGCTCCGGTGCCCACAAAAACCATTCCCGGTGGAAATATTCAGAGAAATAGCACCACGACCCCCAGGAATATCTGGGACATGACCCCCTCTAGAGCAGCCACCACCACCCCCACCGACCCCGTGACCCGGACCCCGTCCGGGACCATCTGGAGTGACGGGTTGATGGGAATCACGGTGGGGATTTTGTGTGGGGTCTTTCTGATGTTCCTCCTCACCTGCCTAGCAATCCTGTGGTTTGTTAGAAGGTACAAAGTAGAGTAAGCATCCTATAGTAGTTTATTATCTATCACGGGTGATTTTTGTTTGTGCCCTCCTTATGGTTTTAATAAATGTCACTTTTTAAATTGCTATAATAGCACGAGTTTTATTACCACTGATATGTCAAATCTCATCGACCCACCAATCCAACAAATCTCTTACTTTTGCAAAAATAATTTAAAAAGTAATAGATTTATAAAAACTGAGACCTTTATTAACGCACGTCTTACAAGCTAAAATTCTATATATTTAGCACCACGAAACGTAGAATTATTTGTTCTGTTTCCATTAAACTCTTACTATAATTTTCGGAACAAATCATTAACAGAAATGTTGCTGCATACTCCCTGGAGTGTTTAAGAACATATTTATATCTTCTGATCAAAGCTAAAAAATTAACTGACTTTATAATATCTTATTTTAAAGATTCATTTCAGATTATTTCTCCCGAACAAGATTTTTATGGACATATTTAAAACTTTCCCCAATAGAATTCTTAGCTGAAAGATGGTCCCAATGGGTTCTTAACAGTTTAATCTATTAATCTCCCTACCTCAGTGGTATATAGTTTATATGAAAGAAAAGGATTATTTCATAAAAAGGGTCGGCACATTTAATGATCACCATGTAGTAGGCTTCAACTAATCTACGCAAAACTTGTTGCGTGTGCTTTGTTGCATCTTAACTTTGGGCTCTTCGTCGATGTTCTTTCATAAAACATACATTTAAGGGCTTCTCTTTCCGATAATTAGATAAAAGAAATTGCATTGCCAAGGGATATTACGGGCAAGAACAAAATTAAATCATTAACGATTTTTCAGCACTTGGATTGCATATAGAAAGCCGTCTGACGTTTTTGGACGGATGAGGAATGGCTCGGAAGGAACTAAACATAGCATAAAACGTTCTGTCAGGAGAGTTCATGTAAAGCAATCCATCCGCTCCCTTAAAGCAGTTTTATGAAAGAACATCTTTTCCTCTTGTAACATACATGTATATATATCAAGCTGTACACATTGGTAAAATTGAATTTACTTTTTGTCTTGCTTTAGAGTGGTGGAAAGTTTTTTTTTTAAATTTGCTCATTATACTACTTATATAAAAATATTGCATCCTTTTTAAGAATAATTTGTTTTTGTATTGCAAGTCAAACATTTGAATTCCTTCAAAACGTCTGCTTTGGTAACTGTCAAAAAGTTTGCATGGTGAACCTTTTGCATGCATGCAACTCAAACTGAGTTGATGAGTGATGGCATTACTAATTAAAATGCATTTAATTTAACGAGGCCAAATTGCAATCAAGTTGGAAATAGCGAAAAAGAGGGTTTTTTTAAATTAATGGATATGCATATTTGTATGTAATATGCTAAAAAAAATTAAAAGAGAAATACAAAATCTTAATAACTTTCCTTTATTGGTGTGAAATGGCGGTACTTCAAAATATTGTCCATTTTAATGTTTTATACGCAATTATATATAAAAACTACCTATGAAACAAAGGATTTGACAATTTAAAAGAAATAAATGGTAAAATGTTTTGTTTTTTCACATATCATCCATTCCTTATTTAAAAAAAAAAATGAGAAGAAAATTGGGGTAGCCTTTAACTGCGATGAAAGAGGGGGGGGGGGGGGTTATCAAAACATTACATAGTAAGGCGACAAGATAACGAATTTTACTATGTATGTCATAATGTGTAGAAAAAATTAAATATTACGCTAATGCATACATATTTAAGTCATCAATAAAAAGGGTGAGTTAACACTTCAACATAATCAAGGAGAAAGACTTATTAAATCGTTTCCTTTTGATTGCAGTGTTGTTCAGTGTTTTTTCAAACTCACAAATTGAAATAAAATTAATCTGTACTTAGAAAAGGATACCTTAAAGTAAATTATATTCCAAAGATGTTTATTAATTTAAACATTTTCTTTAAAATATCTATATCAATATTCATTTAAACATTTAATTTTAAAACATGTAAATAAATATTATTTTAAACATGTATATTTTAAACCATGTAAATTGATAGAAATGCCAGAAACAGCGAGCTTCCAACAAGCACAGACCTGACCTATGAATCTACCAGGTATGCTAATTACAGCAATTTGACGTCATTTTAACTGTGATGCAAGGGTAATCACCGTAATGTGACGTGTCTGAAACGACCCTGCGTGAAACGTATGTGCTGATCAAGTATATTATTGGGCCTCATTATAAATTAAGTAATGAAAATTAAAAGGTCTGCATTATTGGTTTCTCAAAGTGTGGATAAATTCTCAACGGTAAACCACCTTAATTTCTCGCGCGATACCAGTCGAAATCCAACAGTTTGTGACAAATTATCGAGAAAACAATTAAGGAGGTTTCGTGAGTCAGCTAATTACCCCGCCCTACCCCTTAAGTAGTTCTGTCAATTCCAAAGAGTACTGATAAAACTCCAGAAGCCAAAATTAATGTACTCCATAGCTGATCTCGCTCATAACCACGCTTTAAAATTACGCTGAGATATAATCTTCATGTATCGTCCCTGTCAAATCTACCATGTGGTGACATAAAAAAAGAATCGAAGAAATCGACGTGAGTTATGTGGAAACCTTGTAACAGTTGCAGATCAGCAATTGGCTTTTGACCCCCTTATACAACAAGGCATAGCGTGAAGTCAAAGTTAATGTCAACTGTCATATTATAATGTTAGCAGGTGATTTTTGCGCTCGGTCAAATAACTGAAGTTTAATTTGACGACGTTTGACATCAATTTTTTTTTACTATTCAAGTTTCAAAACTTACCGTTTGATTTTCTAAACTAGTGCATGTATTTGCTGACACTTTTTTTCACATAAATTATATATATGACACATTTTTTTTATCCTATCAATTCAGAAAATTTGCTTAAATAAACAAAAATTACTCTCTATATATAAAATAACTGATTTTTATATAGAGAGAATGTAGGGTAGATTTAATAGAACGTTTGTTTTAGGTAATTTTTCGATTTGTTGGTATAGATCTTTTCACAAATATGTCAATGAAAGATTATTTATGAGAAAAAAGTAATAATCCACAGCACCTGTGGTAATAATCCACATGAAATATTAGTAGATGATAATATTTTTCAATATTCTGAGATATATTTTGTTTTCTGGTTATCTGCATGACCTTATGTTTATATATGACAAGTATGCCTTGATATTTATATATGATTACATACATATGTAGCTCATTTAACTCAAAAACGAAAAAAAAAACACTCTATGCCACTTTGAATTTTTGCTTTGATATTACCCCAATGTAAAGTATCATATTTATACATTTTATCTATATTCAATATAATCTTTAATTTACAATTTAACAGATGCATGGAAATAATAAACTTTAGATAAAGAAAGATTATAACTTATTTTATCAATAATACGTATGTTATATTTGCATTCTTTCTAATCGTTATGCACTTTTGCACCTGCGTGAGAATTTATGCAATGTGACAATTTTGCAGTTATTTTTCTTCTTTGTTCAAACACGCATTCTGCACATGATTTCATATGAAAGATGTCTTTTTATTTTATTTTTTGTCTTTTTCAGACGTAGAATGATGGACAAACAAAAGAAAGCATATCAAGGCGAGGTAAGAGTATATTCAATTCATCCAAGTTGGCAACTCGTCTCATCCAAAACTTTTTTTTTTCTTTAAAAACCCGGATACTCGTTTGTTCTTTGGAATTTAAAATGCAATTGTCATCCTTTGAAATGGATTCTGAACGATGCAACCATACTATTTGAAATAAAACAAAAGTAATAATTATTATTTTTCTATTTAGTGTTAAAGGAAATCCTTAGGGTTATGAAAATTGCTTACATACGCTCAAAAGCTATAATTCGTAATGAAAATGATTATAGTAATTCACAGTTGTAAATGTAGTAAACCTTCAAAATTTGAAAAGCGGAAAATTATATATTTAAATAAAATTCTTGATATATAAGATAAAGAGAATATAAGCAAACTTCAATATTACTAGTGACCGTTTCTCAGCATAACATTTTTCGAGGACAAAATTTAATTAATTAAAAAATATTTTTAAATGTAAAATAAATATTTAAGTGATGCATTTAACACTGAAATATTTTCTTTTTCTTCTTCAGGAGCCATTCGTTGATGATGGTCGACATTACGAAGAAATTCATCCACGGGATACACCTTATGAAGCGCAGCCATTCCTTTCATCTCCGAACGGACTTCCGGGACAAAAGCAACCAATGAACGGGTCACTTTCCGAACAGAATAATAACCCTTCCAATAGTCGATCTCCTCTAGGCGAAAATTATTTCATTCTTGAACCCTCTCAGGGAAGGCCAAATGCATCTAATCCGAATATGCAGAATTTGGTGGCTATTCATCCGAATACTATGGAAACTTTCCATCCGGGCATTCACGGCTTTATTCCGTATGTGCCCGGTCATCATTATGTAGTCCAGGGACCGAGTCCCCATCACCAGGCTGTGCAGTCACAGCACCCCACTGTTCCCCCAGCTCATTTGATTCCATTAAGGGAGAAATACATTATATCTGACAGACATATGGAGTCCCCCACCGGAATTGTGAGATATCCGGATAGAAATAACACAATTGGGTCGTGTCAGGTGACCGGATTTCGTCACAGTCCAGTGAATTTTACCCAGGAAACACCTGGACAGTTTTCTCTTGATCGCAGACAAAACATGCAATACATTCAACGATCAACGAGCGTCTGTAGCCAAACTGACGTCCCCGTTCCGGAAGCGGGGGAAGAGGAGGGTTACGATAAAATCGAGGATTTCCGACAGTCCATTCGAGCACCCTCGGAGAAAACTAATAGTCATCATTATGACCAAGTGCAATTGACAGAATCTCCCTCCCATGGGTCTGACAGTAGATCCCAGTCAACTAAATCAACGCAGGACGGATCAACGTCATGCTAGCTTCACACGAAATAAAAAAAATTAAAAACGTGCCGTATATTTACAGTGAATAAAAGGTATAACATAGACACAAAAAAAACTTTCCATTATCGAGGGACCAATGTTAATTAACGTGTGTGTTATTTAACGGAGTGAATCTTGCCTTTATCAGAGGATGGAGTTTATTCACTAATCCTTTTATATACAAAATATCAACTGTTGTGATTTTTACACGAAATCCAGTTTCAATGGTGCTTGCTGTGTCATTTTATTTTATCTAATTTTGAAGATGTTTTATTATCTTTTTGTGATAATAAGGTCCCATAATTTGGTTTGCGATAAGTACATGTGTATCCAGAACTTAAAAGCATTTTGTTACTTGACCTCTTTGCATTTTTATTTTGTGTGCATTTTATCCTGCTCAGAGATACCAAAAACACTAAATTCTATTTCGTGCAAAAAATGTGTGGGTTCAATTTTTACAAAAGAACACCATGCACTGAACTCTATACTTGTCTTTAGGTAACTGAAGAGCTAAAAATTTTACCCTTCTAAACAAAAATTATAAAGTAAGTTTGCTTACATTTTTTGCATAAATTTAATTATATTATTCACTGAAAGTGCGTTTTAACTTATACATAATTTTCATGTTTTGATTTTATGCAGACAATATGTAAAGCATTTAATTTGTTAAGCATTTATTTTATGTCGATTTTATCAAATTGTGAGAAGACTAGATTAAGCATTTTTCATGATTTTACAAATTAGAATTACCATAGAAACCCAAAATATACATGTCAGCATTTATTTAGTCAACAGAAATTTGTGCTTTTTGAAAGATATTTGCTTTATCCCATTTTTTATCCCAAAAATGTCAAAATATTAAACGAGAAAATTCATGTTCTTCATGAATTCTACATTGCTTTAACATACTACATGTAGTATACATGTATATGCGGCTGAATGGATGATTGGATGATTATATATACAAGTTTATCTGAATGAATGAATGGATGAATGAATGAATTGTATTTTTAAATGCCTTAACTAAATATCAATAATTTCCAAATTATTATCAACAATTATTATCTCAGTTACAATTTATTCAGCAAAATGCAAAACATAAATGCCTCATTCTTATAGTTGTTAAAATCTTTGTTAAGAAGTCAAAATGAAAAGAAAGATTATGATACAAATATGAGAAATACCTTTTTGAATCTTTTTTTCAAAATCCATTCAATTACATGTATGTACGAAAAGGGGGCATTAACTTTTTTTTCGAACCAGAAAATACTGAGCATAGCATTTACTATTTTTTGTATTCAGACATAATCACACTAACACTTATCGTGGGTGCTTATTCATTATTTATTCGCTGTTCTATGGAGAAAATCCGTATAGACTAATGAACGATTTTTTTAAAATACAGATTTCACAAATTTTTGTGGAAATTCATAAAATAAGACTTTGTCTCGTTGTGGAGAAGAATTGCATTGTTTATGCTTTATTTCGTGTGAAGATCTTCATTTTCTAGATTTAATCGTGTGGAATTTCAATTGATCAGTCTTACTGATAAATCCCCAGTGGGTTGTATACATTTCATTTTGTGATAAATGCATAATAAAATAAAAGACATTTACAAACAACAGTGTTTTGTTTTGCTTCTTCCTCAGCTTTTTTCCCCTTTGTTTTTGAAAAGAATGTAAAACACCTGTCAATAAAGCGATTCTTGGAAGGGAGATAGAAAACATTCATGTCATTTCTGACATACCTTTTAAAAAAAAAAAAAAATCTGCAATGTGACATCGCAGTTTTATATTGGCCATAAAATAAAAGACTGTAAGAAAGGATTAGCCTATCAACATTTTGCGCTAGTTTCTAGACAGATGAATATCAAGGATGGACCGCTTATTTTTAAAACGATTGAAATTGGAAATTTGAAACTTGGTTAAACTTGATTTTTTAAAAAAGATTGCATGTATTCATTTATTATGAATAAATTATCATTTAGTGATTTTTTTTTTTAACTCGAAATAAGTTGTTTCCTTGTGTTTTTTGATAATATAATTTCCCACATATAACAAATATTTTTACATCAACGTATGAAATTGATCATGAGTTATTTGAATTTCAGTGAATTACACGAAATATGCACACAGATTAAACAATATTACAAATAAAAAAAATAAAGCGTGCATATGTAAGTCTCTTTTATTTACAAAGTCGGGCTTATAGCGTTCATCCTTCCGTATACATTGTATATTGTTTGTCACTGTCCAAATATTAAGAAAAAGTGTAATCACGTTTCATAAAAAAGATTTTTAATATCGAAACACATTTGCATCAGTTTATAATTGTAACTGCGCCTCTCATGCACCTCGCTCATCTGTATCCACCCATAAACACTGACCCCCCCCCCCCTTCATCTTATCAAAGTTTTCTTTCCACTGCATGTGGTACTCAATTACTGGATTAGTATCTCTTTTAGAATAAGTCACTCTGATTTTATAATAGATTTAGGTTTGACAATTTAATATCGGGGATATCAGGCACTTTTTGACAATATGAGAAAAGAAAGATAACTCTCATTCAAAGAAGGTGCTTTTCTGACCTTTAAGGACCCTCTCTACACCAGTGCAAAATGTTTTTTGGACATTGAGAAAAATATATTGTATAAAGGAGTCAATATTGAGCTTATCTGTTTAATTTTCAGTGTATGGTGCTTGGCATTTACCACGGGAAAATGTCCAAAGACAACATTGTAGCAGTGAATAGAAATCACGGTTGTTTACTTCCATAGGGAAAATGCATGGAAATAATATGTTCAATTAATTCATCCTGACCACTTAAAATGTAGAGAATACCTGAAATGATTACAAATTGAGTAATATATTGTTAATTTCTATTTTTTAGAATTAAGAGCCATTCTCTGTAATGACTTGAAATTTTATATAGGAGCTGTGGCATGCATAGTCTCAGAATTTCTCCAAACTCTCTCAGATAAAAGTCATTGATACCCTAAGCTGTAATCAGGCAAAAATTGGTTGCTATGTTTTATAGTTACCATGGCAACGTGTCTTAAAGTTCGAAAAATGGCATTTTTTAACATGTTTAGAGCCCCATGTTAACATTTGCGGCAAAGCAAACAATTGGCAATGACTGTTTCCAAAAGTTGAAGGTCACAAGTCTCAAATGCATGATAAACATGTTTGGTAAATGAACTATTACATACGTTACTATGGTAACAAAGTATTCAAAAGTAAAAAAAAATATTCATTGAATTTTATAAAGTCATACACGTAAAAATAAAAAGCAATTATAGGATGAAATGTGACCAATTAATAGAAAAAAGAGCCTTGAAACATATACCAAGAACAAAATATGATATTTCATTTTGGTTGGAAATGGTTGCCAAGGTTTTTATACCACAGAGAGCCTTCAAAGTAACACTCTGTATTTTTAAATCTGATCCTATCTTTTTAAAAAAGCACATTTCCTCATAACTAATCATCAATTTTTAAAGATGTTGGTGTGTTCCAAGTTTTCCCATTTGAAAAAATTCAGATTAGATTCTTTAAATAGAGCGTTGCTATGGAAATAAGCAGAAAATATATGCTTAAAAACCTGAAAAATATTTTCTTTCCTTGGATACGTACCCTTAAATGTAGATTCCCAAAACTTTTATGATTGATATTTATTAACAGCTAACCTGACTTTTAATTTTGACTATCATCCAATCTCGAAGTGGATGCAAGAAGTTGGCACACAGGGTTTAATATTGATATAAAGTTCACAAAATCGAACATTTTCCCTTCTTGGTAACCATAGCAACAGTGTTGTTTTCTTCATCGAATTTTATCAATATATGATATTCAACTTCAGTTCTAACAGATAAGTATTATTCAAGCTGAGTCCTTTAATTTGTTTCTTGATTATATGGCAATTTAATTCTTAATGCAGCGAAAAATAATTCACTTTTAAGCACTGGTACTTTGTTTCCATGGTAACACTGCAAAGTAGCAATTATACCCAATTTTTCTTATGGTTTTGGTGTTGCAGGGTCCTAAGGATGCATATTTGCCAGTCTTGAATTTTCAAGTTTTTCCTCAAGACAGTAGCATTAACCCAATTTTAGTTACTGGTTTTGCATGGTTACACTGTGTTACCATGGCAACCATGAAAATTATTTATAGAAAAATATTGCTTATACTTATATACTTAAGGTCAAACATTTTCATTGTTTTTCTTAAGTCGTTGATTGAGTTTGAGCATGTAACACCTACCATTAGTGAATACGGAGTATTTTTCAGCATATTTCAGCAATTTAAATGTATTCCAAATGTACCCTTGGTTACCACTTATTTAGAGATATATTCTAAACAGTTTCTTTACAGTATAAGTGACATCAAGGTGTCATGTTTTTGTGAGAATGGTTTGTTTGCTTTTTCTAGTTTTTATTAAGCCACAGCCAAGATTTAAAATGGCTGAAAATCTCGATTTTTCAAACTTTTCCGGCTGTTGCCATAGCAACCAAGACACTTAGCAACGAAATTTTGTTTGATATTTGTTTCTGGTGTCAAGTACTAAGCATAGGTGAAGTTTCATCAAAATCGGTGACCATGCGTGGCAACGAAGTTGAAGTGGTTACAGAGAATGGCTATTAAGATCTAATGGTATAGATCACTCTAACTGCAGAAAAATACCATATAATCAGAATTCTTTAGTGTGCAGTGTAGAGAGGGTTCTTAAAAAAAAATATTATAATATGTGTAAAGGAAATTGAATGAAAATCATGCGAGCCACCTTTTCCTCCATATGTACAAACATTAGCGGATCCAGAGGGGGGGTTCCGGGGGTTGGAACCCCCCCCCCCCTTTATTTTTTGCCAAGTGGAGAAAGAGAGAGAAAGAAGGGGGATAAAACGTTTCCCGAGAATAAGTATTTGTACGTCTAACTGAAACAGATAGATTCTCACACATTTAGTTTTTCCATTCACCTTTACTATTACTTTTTATGAGTGAATGGTAGAAAATATTCTACTTATTTTTATATATCTAATATATGATATGTAACATGCGAGGTTAAGTTTGATATTAGATTCCCGCGATCTTAATTTGACTGTGTTGGCTATATACAAGAAGGTGCCGTTTTTTTTTTTTAAAATAAATCTTCTGAAGGAACTAAAATTTAATTCATTTTACCCAACCCAAAAAGGATTTTCAAATTCTTTAAGAAAATTCATTCTACTCTTCGGAAATGCTGCAAATCCATTCAATTTTAAGGCTTCAGTAGTTTTTTAAATGTGTTAATTTTTTTATACGGACTGGGGGCACCTTTTCAAAGAAAAAAGGACGTAGAACAAAGATATTATTTTCCACAATCTTATATTTTTCCATACATGTGTGTGTGTATCTTTGCCTGAGAGTGTGTAAGGGGGGGGGGTTAGAGGGACACAACCCTGGACCCCCCCCCCTTTCAAAAATTGCTGGATCCGCCCCTGACAAATATAGTGTATTTCACAACGTTGTTACTCTCTCTCTCTCTCTCAGCTATTATGAAAACAATTTAAAGGCATCAAACCAGTGTCCACGAATATTTGCAAACAGATTAGGATTCTCTACGTAACACTGAAATGCCACATTCTGATCATCGTCCACTATGTTTTCCGTGAGGAGTTTTCGAAAAGTTTTCTTGTAGAGTTTTTCATATTTCAAAATGGCCGCCGCATCCCCTCCAAAAAACCCGCCACAAAAAGCAGGCGACATTTGAACTTTATGAGGTTCATTGATATCTTTATATAACACTGGATCGTTCAATTCAATATATGTAATCTTGTTGTGTTTGTTTAAAAGAACTCTAGGCAGAAAGTTCTTCCACTGGGTAAGGTTATCACCATGTCCATACCCAGCGTCAATCCAAAAGAAATGTGTGCTGTTAAAGGGATTTTTTCGTACAGCATCTGACAAAAAAGAAACTTTGTTGTTCATCAGGATTAAATATTTCACTGAAAAAGCTTCTGGGTGGTTAAGCATTTCGTTGGAATCTCGGAACTCAGGGGAGACAAGAACATTTCCAATATGCTGTCGGTACCGATAGAACTCTAAATCAGTGAATGGTAGTGCATAGATCTGTGTTTTCTGATGTAGATTTTTTCTTTCGTTCAAGACAAATTTTTGAACCGATTCGTCAGAATAGATGATCATTTTTACATTCAAACCCAGGACATTACTGAAATAAGATAGGTATTCGTCGAAACTTCGCCGAAAGTGTGTCCAATGTTCACGACCTATGTCGTATAGAGCGGTCACGAATACCGCCTCCTGGGTTGGTGTACGAGACTGGTCATTCTGTACTGGATTAAAAAATGACCTCTTCCCGTTATGATTTAAGAATGAACCAAATAAAGCGAAAAAGCATTCGTAAAAATAAAAACAACTTCAAATAAACTTACCAAGATTGAGACACAGCAAAAATAGCAAGAATATTTCGGCATACATGTACCTATACATTTTAGTATTCTATATATGTATACTATATATATTGTTTACACTATCACTGGTCAATAATTTGGTGTGTACTTTAGTCTTATCTCACATAGGTCATAACTGGACATTATAGATCTAGTCCCGTGGGGGACATGTGGTCATCTGCCAAGTAGCCATGATCTCAGATTTTGAACTTTCTTCATGAATTCTACAATATGCAATACAAATGAATACGAATATTTTTACTTTTTGATTTACTTTTTAAAGAAGGTGGGCGAACAAGGATTGCAAAATGCTTATAGCCTCAAATGTATAAAAGTAATTGTAAGTTTTTATCATCGAAAGGTACGATATTTATAAGAAATTAAACTTTTCTGCGAAAATTTCTTTCTGCAAAAATCATAATCCTTATTTTTCTAAATGTAGTATTCTTGGGGAATGAACCTAAGCAATCCTTAGTTAACCTTCAAGACTAGCATTTTTACCAATATCAATATGCCATAACACTCAGAACAAAAAAAGCATTTCAATCATGTTTGAGAAATGGCCCTTGACTAAATGGATTTCCAATATTTTTGTGAAAGATATAAATGCTGTGTCATAAAAAGTATTTTTAAAGTATATTGGGAGATTGTTTAATGTTTTTGTACATCTTAAGCATACCTTGAATATAATTTTTGAAGAAAATGAAGCGAAGACCCTTTTATATGGAAAAATAGTTGGAGTATAAAGAAATTATCATTTTCCCCTCTCTGGTATATGAAATTTCAAAGATGACTAATTTCAATCTTTGAGAGATTGTTGCGATTTGTGGACATTTGACCTGAAGCATTCATTAATTTTTAATGAAATGTCAAAGAATATTTTGTTATAACTGAATTTTAATTTGGTCACATAATAAACATTTGTCCCCTTTATTCACCCATCTTCTTTGCTTTATTTGAAAATATTGTCCCTAAACAGCAGGCAAGTGAATTAAAAAGATCCTCGAATACATTAGACTGGAACCCCCCCCCCCCCTTTCCCTTTTTAAAAATCAGGGTCAGAAAATGAGCTATGCTTGCTAAATACTTCTAACTTTGTATTAATAAATCACTTCAATATTTCTTCTAAAAAAGTAACTTCAAAACATTACAATTTACTTTAAAAAATTAATGGGTATTTAATTTTGAAAAAAAATTAATCATTCCAATCCATCACTTCAACCCCCTCCCACTTGCCCCTTTCAAAATTGATTTTAAATTAAGCATTGGTCTAACTCATCCTTTGATAGGCAACTTTCTACATATACCTTTCATTCATTTAGGACATCCTCCGAACATACGTGGATAAATTTTGATAAATCTTAAATATTTAATATTTTTTTATTGGTCATATCATCATTATACAACATTAATCTTTCAGTGTAAATAAATTACTGAGAATGTTCTTCTTTTCAACAGTGAACTTACAAAAATATAAATTACAAAATCCTTTCATCACACTTAAATACAATTATCAGTTTAAAGATGGATTTACCCAAAATAAAGACATTAACAAAACAGCATCACAGGATTTGCCGAGAGGAAATATGAAGGACTTCCCCCCACTGAAGTTGAACAAGAGATTCTGAGAGATGCATACACTATATTTTAGGCAGGACTTTCACTAGGACTTTGTATCCGAGTTTTCTTTCTTGGTTTAGATCATGATTCGTGATCACTAGCTTTTCTTCCTCATTGTAAAATGGGTTCTAATTCCTTTTTTTGCTCCTTAATTTTTCAGTCCTCTAAGGTGCTCCTACAGAATGGGCAGTGACCTTTCTGTAGATACTGGAGTTCAAAGTCATCAGTGTGGAACAACTGAAAATAGAACAAATAATCACATTTACTGAATGATAACAACAAAATAATCTCTATGAGAGTGAATAAAAAACTGCTGAATTTTCTTTTTTTTGTAGGTTTCAAAATATTTTTTGGCAGTGTAATGATGATTAAATTAACTAGAAAACTGACCAGTCAGCAAGGGCCCCGCCATGGGGTAGAATTAAAAGGGTGCAGCTTACAGAATGATTAATAAATGTA